ATGAGGTAAGAGGGGGTGCGGAATAGCTTTGACCCCTCCAAGTTGGCGAGATCACGCATCCGCCACCCCAGTTCCTTGTCAATCGCGCAGACAAACTTCAACGATAGCTCATAGCAGGTTGTCACGTCGCGGTCGGTTTCCTGCCCTTTCAACGGCCGCTCGTGCAGAATGAATGAGAACAAAACCGGATTTCCCTCGGAGTCAACGCCTTCAGCTTTTATCTCGCGCTTGTCCTGCTTCTGGTGCTTCAAGAAGAAATCAGGAAGAGTCATGTACCCTCCGCTTCCAAACACGTGACCAGGGGCCGAGCTCAGGTACCGCGCCTTCAGCCGCATACGCGTCTGCTCCACGATGTGCGCTACAAGCGTGACGTCGATCCGCATCAACAAGAAGGAAGTGACGGTGGGATGTAAGGGGCGGTGCACTTGTTCATATCTCTTGTCTCTGTACTGACGCTACAAGCGTGACGTTGAGCTTAAGTACTGACCTGTCTCAGTTGGAGCTGATTCAAGTGGTTCAAATCCCACAGGGTATCATCAAGAAAGCGTAGTAGCAAATGAAACTTGAAAGAGGTTACAACCTCGTTCAAGTCAGGATTGTACTCCTTGAACACGACGATGGCGATCGGCAAAACCTCGAGGAGCCGGGCGGTGTGTATTCCCTACGCCTCCAGATTCGTCTTGCAGAACACTTGTTGCCGGTTTTGAAACTTCTGGTACTGCACGCTGCTCCTCCCTAGTAGCTCCGAAAAAACACGGACGGCATTGTCGACCATGTTCAGCTCAGGGACAGATTTGTTAGAGACTAAGGACGGAGTCTATGAAGATTAGGAGCCGAAATATCTCAAAATCGTTGGGCCTAGTTTCTGGACAGAAAAATCGAGTTCACAAGAAACGTCGTCGACAAAAGGTTCACAGTCAAAACTTCACCAAACTCAGACATCATGTAGCTCTACTCCGTGGCTATAGTTCCCAAGTTGAATCGTACAAAACGGTGAAGTATTTCTTGAGTTATCAATTTCGGCGCACTAGGGGGTAAGTTGCCATAGAATCTTAACTCAATCACAATTATCTCACATGATTACCACACAAGGAAGTTAGAGTAGCAATAAACCAGGTAGGAGGGGATGAGGAGGACAAGAGGGAAGGTCCCAAGAGAGTCCCCAACCAAGGAAACTCCATAAGCACACCAAATCCCTTCCCTATAGAAACCCCACTTTTACTTTTGTCACTTTCCAACCCATGCCATCCACCTTTCCCAACTTGGCCACACTTGCCAACCTGGTTTGGTACCTCCCAACCACTTGGCAGCATCTACAGTGATGTTGACGAATTTCCCAACCCCCAATAGTCTATACCCCTTATGGAGTCAACCCCACAACTTCCCATAGTCACCACAACCAAATATCAAAAGCATACGAACTTCCAACGTTAGTAACTTTCTTGTTCGTGCTCCGATTGAAACGATACTTGGTTCGTCGGAAAGCTCTTGAGTAGATGAGTCACTTCAGGTATCTGCTCAAGCCAAAAAGCAGTCACACATGTCAAAATTAGAAGAAAGAAAGAGGATTGAACTAGCAAGAATGAGGATACAAATAGCAAACCCTAGAAGGGTTGTACTCGCTATAGAGCACCACACTACAGGCTAGAACAATAAGATAATATTCTGACACACCCCCATAGCCAAAGTGGGGTGTAATCAGCAGAGCAGGCAAAACAGTACAAGCTCAGGGTGGATCACAATGTCACCACGCATTCTGAGCACAAGGTCAAGAAGAAATAGTTTAGAGTTCACAATTATAAGCAAAGCTAGTGGTAGTCACAACGGGCAAGTGAGGAGGAGGAGGGAGTGTGAGGGGAGAGGAGACAGGAGGCGACGGCTGAAGCTGCAGACACACGGGCAACAGGAGGCAGACTGGCACAGCGGCTACCGGACAGCGCCCGGACTACAGGAGTAACAGGCCCCGCGGCTCAAATAGCGGCGGACGGGCAACGGACCCACGGGCGGCTGGCACAGCTGGCTACGACTGGGCTACCGGGACAGCGCCCCGGACTACAGGTGCTGCTGACGACAAACTGGCAACCTCCGCTCATCCTCCCGCACATAGTCCCACCCCCCTGATACACACCCACTGCTACACCACTAGCTCTACTCCCACGCACCCCCCTTAAACCCTAAACCCAGTCTCCCACACAACCACCCCCCTCAGCGATAGCTGCAGCAGTGGGAGACGAAGGAGGAGGAGGAGAAAGGGAGGAAGGCACACCGACCACCCCCATACCCGCCACCCCACAGCTCGCCGCGGCCCCCGAAGGAGCCGCGACGGGCGACGGGAAATGGCAAGGGGGGGGGAGGCGGTGTGGTGAAAGGGGCCCACCACGAGCCTGGTTGGAGGGCGGGGCCGCGACAAGGGGCGGGGCCGCGACGAGCGGGGCGGGGCCGCGACGTAGGGCGGGGCCGCTTCGAGGGGCGGGGCCGCGACATAGGGCGGGGCCGCGACGTAGGGCGGGGCCGCGACAAGGGGCGGGGCCGCGACGGTCGGGGCGGGGCCGCGACGTAGGGCGGGGCCGCTTCGAGGGGCGGGGCCGTGACGAAGGGCGGGGCCGAGCAGGTAGGGCGGGGCCGAGCCGGGCAGGCGCACGGGCGGCGACGGGTCGGGGCGGGTCCGCGACGAAGGGCGGGGCCGAGCCGGGCAGGCGCACGGGCGGCGACGGGCCGGGGCGGGGCCGCGACTTAGAGCGGGGCCGCGTCGAGCGGGCGCACGGGCGGCGACGGGCCGGGGCGGGGCCGCGACGTAGAGGAGAAGCCCGCCGCGCGCCACGGGGCGCACAGCGGGCAATGAACCGCCGCGCGCCTCGGGGCGCACGGCGGGAGGAAAAAGTAGCAGCGGAAGCAAGGTGGGGACACACCCACAGGATCGATCCAAGGGGATCGACCTGCTCTGATAGCATGTCAAAATTAGAAGAAAGAAAGAGGATTGAACTAGCAAGAATGAGGATACAAATAGCAAACCCTAGAAGGGTTGTACTCGCTATAGAGCACCCCACTACAGGTTAGAACAATAAGATAATATTCTGACAACACACACTAAAAAAAAACCAAACCGCATCAAACACAAATTCTTGCACACGCTTACACCATGCATGCAACAGACGAACATATGATGGGAGGCAGACAGACGTGAATGCGAATGGAAGCATCACTCAACAAGATTCAGCGACATCTTTTGCAGCAAGTGCCTCTATGCATGCACAAAACAAGATACATGAGTTAATCCATCTAACTTGAAACGACGAAACATAGACACCAGCCTTACCGATGCACGATGCAGTGTGTTGACGCAAGGTGAGGTATACGCATTATGAGCCGGGCCACTAGGCCACTGTTCTTCCCCACCATTACGCTCGCTCCGTCGGTCACGATGCCTGTTAATTACTGCAGGTCGACACCAATACCGGTCAGGTACTTCACAACAGCAGAGGTCAAAGAAGCAGCGTCAGCACGATCCAAGGTTATCAAGGTCAGGAACTTGTTGACGACGGTCCTGTTCTTGATCTAGGTGACGTAAATGATGAGACGTTTCCTGTGGATGCGGTCAGTGCTTTCGTCGAGCGACAGGGACATCCATGGCGATTCCAGAAGGTGAAGCCACTGCGTCTCCTGCAGGTACATGGATGTTGCACAAAGACATTTCTTGGAACCGTAACTGCAACACAAACAACGAACAGTGAAGATTAGATACTCTCAATAATAGTAATTCGAAAAGCAATACAACCAACGCAGAACTAACTTACTCAGCTGTACCCACTTTGACCTTAGTCAATTCATTCTCGTTCAGTATTCTGACATGGTTTCAGAGGAGGTCTTGTTCCAGGACCGCTTTTGTTGGGCCCACCGAATAGTTCCCTGCCTATAGTGCATTACCCTGTTTGTAGCGCCCTACCCTGCTCGTCGTGCTGCCCCACTAGACGCACTGCCCTGCCCTGCCCGTCGCGCCGCCCTGCTGGCCGCACACCGCCCTGCTAACTGCTGCTCCGCCCTGCCCTGCCCGTTGCGCCGCCCTGCTGGCCGTGCGCCGCCCTGCTGGCTGCCGCGCCCCCCTGCCCTGCCCGTCGCGCTGCCCTGCTGGCCGCGCGCTGCCCTGCCCTGCCCTTGCGCCGCCCTGCTGGCCGCCGCGCCGCCCTGCTGGCAGGATCGACGTCCTGCCCTGCCCACGTGCCGGCCTGCTGGCCGCCGTGCCACCCTGCCCTGCCTGCGCGTCGCCCTGCTGGCCGCCGCGCTGCCCTGCCCTACCCGCGTCCCGCCCTGCTAGCCGCCGCGCTGCCCTGCCCTGCCCGCGCGCCGCCCTGCTGGCCGCCGCGCTGCCCTGCCCTGCCTACACGCCACCCTGCCCTGGCCGCGCGTCGCCCTTCCCTGGCCGTGCGCCGCCCTGCCCATCGCGCCATCTTGCTGCCTGCGCGCCGCCTTGCCTTGCCTGCATGCTGCCCTGCTCGTCGCGCGCCAACTTGCTCTACCCGCTATGGCTTCTCTCAGTGTTCTCACCTTCGATCCTGAGGGCCGTCCGATCCAGTTTGAGACCTGCTAGACGACTTACAGCTGTACCTACGGAGCGAGTCTAGGGACGGCGTCTCCTTGTTAGACCACACGTCTGGGACCTCTCTCGCTTCTCCCGAGACAGCTGAGAGTGTGACTCGCTCACCGTGGCTTACCCGTGATGCTACTGCTCGCCTAGCCATTTGCAACCACCTGCCGTTAGCCGAACGCACGCACTTTGGCCAGCACAAGACTGCTAAAGCACTGTTCGATGCTGTGGTCGCTCGTTACTCCTCCCCTGCCACTGCTGCTCTTGGCCAACTTATACTGCCCTACCTTTTTCCCGAGCTGTCAGCCTTTCCCACAGACGACCTCATTACCCACCTTCGCACTATCGACACTCGCTATCGCGCCGCGCTCACAACCGACTTTCTAGAGAAGAACCCCCCCCCCCCCCCCCCCCCCCCATGTATATCACTCTCTACTTCATCGTCACCCGCCTCCCTGACTCTCTTCGCGCAGTTAGGGACCTCCTTCTCGCCCTTGACCCCACAGAACTCACTGTTGACCTGCTCGAGAAGCACCTCCTTGCAGTTGAGACTAGCATAGTCGCTGTAGGTGCTTCTCATGACACTCTTCGCACTCCCTTCTTTGAGGGGTGTTCCCCCTCCCCCCTTGCCCCCTCTGTCGCTTCTGCTGCTGCTGTTGACTTCCTTCGTGCTGAGGAGGTCAGGGCTGCGTCTACTCCTAGTGGGAGGCGCTGCAGCGGCAAGGGCAAGGGAGGCAAAAAAGGCGAGGGTGGCGGCGGTGGAGGCGGTGGTAGAGGCGGTGGAGGCGGCAGAGGTGGCGGTGGTGGTGGTGGGAGTGGTGGTGGGAGTGAAGGCGTCAGTGGCGGTGGTGGTGGTAGCGGTGGGAGTGGTGGCAGTGGAGGTGGCGGAAGTGGGAGTTGTGGCGGCGGCAGTGGTGGCGGTCGGTGTGGAGCCGTCCACAGGGGAGGTTTTGGAGGTGGCCAGAGGGAGCAGCAGTAGTGTCCGCGCGAGGCCCTTATGCCCCAGCAGCTTCGTGAGTGGTTTGCTCGGCGCACCCGCCTTCGGAGTGGCGCTGCTGTTAGTGCTGAGGGTGATTGTGTCAAAGATATGCATATGTTATATTTGTGGGTAGGCTGTAGTGGGGTAGATAGTGTGGGGTATAATCCCTTAGGGTTTTCTCCTTGTACCAATTCTCTCGATAGTTAACTTCATTGATGCCTAGATTCTAAGATGGTATCTAGAGCCTAGAGGTCTTTAGGACCTAAGATTAGGGACCACCCGTTACCACGTTACCTCGCCTGCCTGCCTTGCCTGCTGCCCGCGCGCGCCTTGGCTGCACGCGCGCGGCCCCTTTTTTCCCCCCCGAGCGCCACTTAAGCAGCCCGCGCGCAGCTCGTTTAGGCCCGTTTTCGGCCCCGCGCGCCACGTCAGCCGCCCGCGCAGCCTACCGCCGGCCCGCGCACCGCGTAAGCCGCCCCCGCGCAGCCCGCTTAGGCCCTGCGCGCCGCGTCCGCCGCCCTCGTAGCCCGTTTTCGGCCCCGCGCGCCACGTCAGCCGCCTGCGCAGCCTGCCGCCGGCCCCGCGCGTCGCGTCCTCCGGTGTGCAGCCCGCAACTGCTCCGCGCGCCGCCTTAGGAGCCAGCGCGCGGCCTACTACTGCACTGTGCCCTGCCTTAGGAGCCCGTGTGCGGCCCGCTGCTGCATCGCGCGCTGCTTTAGAGGCCGACGCGCGGCCCACTGCTGCCCTCCGTGCTGCCTTAGGAGTCCGTGCACCGCCACTGCAGTCCGTGCGCCGCCACTGCAGCCTTGCACGCAGTCTCTCCTTGCTTGCCCTTTGCCTTGCCGCCTGCGCACTAGACTTGCCTACGCTGCACGCATGGCGACTCTCAACATGCTCGCGTTCGATCCTGACGGTCGCCCAGCAGAGTTTACCACGTGGCTTGACGACCTGCAACTGTTCCTTCTAGCTGATGCCAAGGACGGTGTTTCCCCGTTCGATTACGTGTCTGGCACTGCCGTTGCTCCTGCTGCCACTGCGCCTGCTCTAGACCGCTCCCAGTGGTAGACCCGCGATGCTGCTGTGCGCCTCGCTATTTGCAACCATCTTCCGATCACAGAGCGCGCGCATTTTAGCAAGCACAAGACTGCCAAGGCGTTGTACGACACTGCAGTTGCCCGTTACTCTTCCCCGGCCACTGCAGCCCTCGGTCGACTTATGCTACCCTACCTGTTCCCCGACCTGTCCTCGTTTACCACCGCTGAGGACCTCATCTTGTCAGTAGAGCTACACTGTGAGATCCTCGATCGATCCTAGGGGGGGTTACAGGCGCGTTTGCCTGGGGGGTTATGGGCGCACTGACCCGCTACTGAAACAAGCCCTTTTATCCCAATGGTCTAGTGGTTGGGATTCTGACATGGTATCAGAGCGATCTCGGGTTTGATTTCCGGTGTATGCATATGTAGGCCTGTGCCGCTGTGCTTAGTCCTGGGCCTCCCAGTGTGGGGGGGTGTCAGTAGAGCTACACTGTGAGATCCTCGATCGATCCTAGGGGGGGTTACAGGCGCGTTTGCCTGGGGGGTTATGGGCGCACTGACCCGCTACTGAAACAAGCCCTTTTATCCCAATGGTCTAGTGGTTGGGATTCTGACACATCTCTCACCTACGCACTAGTGACACTCACCTTCGTGCCGCCCTTCCAGCCGAGTTCCTCGTAGAGAACCACCCCCCGATGTACTTTACTCTCTACTTCCTCATCACCCGCCTCCCTGACACTCTTTTCTCAGTCAGGGACCACTTCCTCGCCCTTGACCCCCATTCTCTCACTGTTGAAGACCTCAAGAAGCACCTCCTAGCAGCCGAGAAGAACATTCTAGCTGTAGGTGCTGCTCGTGGCACTCCCCGCACTCCCCTCTTTGAGGGGTGCTCCCCCTCCCCTCTCACCCCTTCCTACGCCTCCGCAGGTGCTACTGTCGACCTCCTTGGTGCTGAGAAGGTCGCAGCTGCTTCCACTCCGAGTGGGAAGCGCAGCGGCTTCAAGGGAGGCAAGGGTGGCAGGGGTGGCGGACGTGGCGGTGGAGGGGGCGGTGGTGGAGGCGGCAAGGGCGGTGGAGGTGGTGGCGGTGGTCGTGGGGGTGGAGGTAGTGGTGGGGACGGTGGTGGTGCCGGGTGGGGGCGGTGGCGGTGGCAGCGGCGGGGGTGGCGGAGGGGGGAGTGGTGGTGGCGGCAGTGGTGGGGGCTTGGGTGAGGCCGGTGGTGGCCAGGGACAGCAGCAGCAGTAGCAGCAGCAGCGGCGTCAGCACTAGACCCCCACTTCCCAGCAGCTTCTTGACTGGTATGCCGGGCGTGGGGCGTTTGGGGGTCCTGGTCGCTGCCCCTATATCATTCGCACAGGTCCCCGCGCTGGTCGCGAGTGCACAGGGTTTCACACTGAGTACCGCTGCTTTGCTCGGCTTAGCAACGCCTGGCGCGTCAAGTTTCCTAATGCTACTGAGTTCCCCAACTGGGCAGACCTGCTTAGGCGTGATGTACCTATCTTTGATCTTGACTATGAGACTATTCTTGCTGCCATGTATGCATTGACTGTTAGTGCCGAGGGTGACTGCTACTTGTGTGTGCCGCCTGACCCCGGTATAGCCCCAGGTATAGCGCCTGTGGCACTAGGTGCTTGTGAGTCTGTTCCCCCTGGTACTACGTCCGCACAGGGCTTGCACACCTTCACACTTGACTCTGGTGCTTCCCGCTGTTTCTTTCGCGACAGCACTACAGTCACTCCCTGCACCTGTTCGTGTCTCACTGGCTGACCCCTCTGGGGGCCCAGTGCTTGACCGGACTTCCACTGTGCTTCCGTGTCCAGCGGTCCCGTCTGGTGAGCTGTCTGGTCTCCACCTCCCCTCGTTCTCTACGAACTTGGTGAGCAACCCCGTCCTTCAGGATCACTGGGTTGACTCCTTTACTCCTGGAGGACAGCGTGTGGCGATCTGCACGTGCTCCCGGACCGGCCGTCACCTGGCCACGTTAACACTTGCGCCTGGGTCCAGTCTGTACACCCTCACCACTGCGTCGCACTCCACCCCTTTGTCTCCCTAGCTGTACGCGTCTGCTCAGGTAGCTACCCAGTGTGAGTGTCACCGACTGTCGCACGACAATCTCATGTGGCACCACCGCCTTGGTCACCCCTCCCTGCCTCGCCTTCGTAGCATACACTCTCGCTTCCTGGTCTCTGGCCTTCCCACGTCTCTCCCTGCCCTCCCTCCCTCGCCTACGCTGCCCTGCATTCCTTGCGTCGAGGGGCGACAGCGCGCCGCTCCTCACTCCTCCTCGTTCCCTCCCACAGAGGCTCCACTACAGACTCTTCACCTGGACGTGTGGGGCCCAGCCCGCGTCCGTGGATAGGGCCACGATTGGTACTTCCTGCTGGTCGTCGACGACTACACGCGTTACACCACGGTCTTCCCCTTGCAGCGCAAGGGGGAGGTCCCTGATGTTTTGATCCCTTCGATCCGCGCTGTTCGTCTCTAGCTCCGCGAGCGGTTCTACTCGGACTTTCCTGTCCTGCGTCTACACTCTGACAGGGGTGGTGAGTTCTCCTCAGACCTCTTGGCAACCTTCTGTGCGGAGCACGACATCCGCCAGACGTTCATGCTTCCGGCCTCTCCGCAGCAAAATGGGGTTGCTGAGCGCCACATTGGCTTAGTCATGGAGGTCGCTCGTACCTCCATGATCCATGCAGCTGCCCCCCATTTTCTGTGGCCGTTTGCGGTCCGGCACGCCGCACATCAGCTCAACCTCTGGCCCCGTGTCTCCTTGCCGGAGACCTCGCCCACACTGCTGTGGACGGGGAAAGTTGGCGATGCGTTGCGTTTCCGGGTCTGGGGTGCTCGTGCTTTTGTTCGCGATACCACCGCGGACAAGCTCTTCGCTCGCGCCATTCCCTACGTCTTCCTTGGCTTTGGCCCTGACGCGCCTGGCTGGCAGTTTTACGACCCCGCCTCGCGCCGTGTCTTTCCGTCTCAGGACGTCACCTTGGACGAGTTTGTCCCCTTTTACCGTCTCTTTCCCTACCACACAGCCTTTTGCCCCCCCCCGCCGCTCTTTCTTGCCCCAGGTCCTCACCAGATAGACCCCCTCCCCGCGCCAGGTCATGCTCCTTCAGGTGTTTCTCAGGTAGACCCTCCTGTGCCTGCGCCTGTTGAGGTCACTGGTGACTCAGGTCCTGCTGGGGGTGGTGCTGTCCTTGGGGGTGCTGAGCGGGTGCGGAGCTTGGGGGTGCTGAGCTTGGGGGTGCGGAGCCCTGCGCGTGAGGACCTAGGAGGTACTGAGCCGGGGGGTGCGGAGTCTGGGGGCGCTGAGCCTGAGTGTGAGGAGCCTGGAGGTGCTGAGCCTGCACGTGAGGAGCCTGGAGGTCTTGAGCCTGGGGGTGCTGTGTCTGGAGGTGCTGAGCCCGAGCGTGAGGAGCCTGGGGGTACTGAGTTTGGGGGTGCAACGCATGAGGGTTCTGAGTCTGCTGCTGCGCGGTCTCCTTGGAGTAGCCGCCTTCGTCCGCGTGTACCTCTCACTTCATAGCAGCTGCACGATTGGTACGGTCGCCGTCAGGGTCGCGCTTCTGGAGCTCGGGGCTCTGCTGCTGGAGGTAATTCTGCTGACGTCACTAGAGCTGAGAGTGGTGCTGGTCCTTTGTCTACTGGAGGTGCTGGAGTCGCTGGTCCCGGAGGTGCTCGTACTGGAGGTACTGGAGCTGCTGGGGCTGGAGGTACTGTGTCTGAGGGTGCTACTGCTGGAGACCCTGGGTCTTGGGGTGCTGCTACTGGATGCACTGGGGCTGGAGACCCTGGGCCTGGCGGTGCCGGTTCTGGGGGTGCTGCAGCTGGTGGAGCTGGTCCTGGAGGAGCTGGCACTGAGGGCTCTTGAGCTGCTGGAGGTGCTGGAGCGGCTGCGGGTTCTGGAGCTGCTGAAGGTGCTGGAGCTGTTGGTGCTGGTGGCACTACACAGCCGCGCCTGTTCTTCGCTCCGCCATCTTCGTCGTCTCAGCCACCGCCTGACTCTGCGCTTCGCCAAGTTCTCAGTCTCCCTTCGTCAACTAGTCTTCCGTTACAGTCTGGCTCGTCGCTGCCTGCTCCTTCTCCTTACAATGAGCAGACAGGGGGCCTTACTGAGCGTCGTGAGCCTGCATTGGGTCCTGTCTCACGTGTCCGTTCTGGTCGTTCCGGTCTTCGTGTTCCTCGTCCGCGTCAGCCGGCTGTCCACGGCACCCACCTTGTAGTCCGTCGTCCTTCCTCTCCTCCGCAGCGTGTTCCTCTGCCTTCTCCACCTCCGTCCTCTCTGCCTCACGTTGCGGACCCTGAGCCTGACAAGTTTCGTACTGAGAACCCTACTGTCACGCGACTGTTCGCCACTGTGGTCACTGACCCGTCGTTTGAGTCCGCTGCTGCGTCTGCCTTAGACGCTGAGCTTGTTGACTTTGCTGCTGCCTGTCGTCTAGACTACGCCGCTAGCCTTGTTGCTGAGTCTGAGTCTGCCTGTCCTCCGTCCGTCGGGGGTGAGTGTGCTCTAGGCACAGACGTCCTTGAGGTCTGGCAGGAGGACCTTGAGTGTCTTGCAGCCGCTCCGCCTCATCTCGTGGCCATACTGCTGACCCGTTGCTGTTGCTGCGCACCGACACTTCGCTGCCGCCGTTCTACATCCTCGTGTACGTCAACGACTTGGTCTTTGCCACTGCTGACACTGAGGCTCTCGCCCTGGTAAATTCAGAGCTGCAGAAGAGACACATGTGCACAGACCTGGGTGAGCTGCGCAGTTACCTTGGCTTGCAGATCACCCGGGACAGAGCACGCCGCACCATCATACTGACTCAGTCACACATGGTGCAGTAGGTCCTTCAGCGCTTCGGCTTCACCTGGTCCTCGGCACAGGCGACTCCTCTGGCTACAGGTTACTCGCTCTCAGCTCCACCTTCGGACGAGTCCGTAGAGCCAAGTGGTCCTTACCCAGAGCTAGTTGGCTGCCTCATGTACCTGATGACCTGCACTCGTCCTGACCTTCCATACCGTCTTTGCCTTCTAGCTCCCTACGTGGCTCCTGGTCGGCACGGAAAGGTGCACATGGATGCTGCTAAGAGGGTACTGCGTTACTTGTGCAGTACACCAGGCATGGGGCTCGAGCTTGGAGGACGGGGCGACGTTGTCCTCACTGGTCACTCGGACGCTTCTTGGGTTGACGAACAGGCTACGAAGCGGTCGTCACAGGGTTACACCTTCAGTCTTGGCTCTGGCTCTAGTTCTTGGCGGTCTACACCCTCGTCTTCTGTTCTCGGCTCCTGTTGTGAGGCTGAGATCTACGCCACAGCCATGGTTGCATAGGAGTTACGCTGGCTCACCTACCTGCTGACTGACTTGGGAGAGAGGCCTCGTTCTCCTCCAGTTCTGTACGTCGACAACAAGGCAGCCATTGCCTTGTATCAGGAGCACAGACTAGAGCACAGAACAAAGCACATCGCTCTGCGTTACTTCCTGGCTCGAGAGTTGCAGCAGCGGGGTCAGTTTCATCTTGCTCACGTGGCCACTCGGGCCAACACTGCTGATATTTTCACCAAGGCACCTCTGCCTGGTGATCATCAGCGCTTTTGTACTTTGTTGGGCCTTGTGCCTAGGTTTCCACACTTGCTGTAGAATCTGCTTGTACTCTGATATACATATATATATATATATGTATATACCTGCATGCTTGTTCTTGCCAGGTAGAGATCACTGTACTGTTCTTGTTGCATATATACCTCTGCATGTGAACTGGCCTTGTGGCCTTTTGCTTGTGCTCAGTGTGTGTGGTGACGTTGTGATCCACCCTGAGCTTGCTTTGCTTTTCTTGACCGGTCTTGTGACCTCTTGCTCTCCCCCATTTTGCCTATGGGGGTGTGTCAAAGATATGCATATGTTATATTTGTGGATAGGCTGTAGTGGGGTAGATACTGTGGGGTATAACCCCTTAGGGTTTTCTCCTTGTACCAATTCTCTCGATAGTCAACTTCATTGATGCCTAGATTCTATGAGATTTTTACCTGTGTATGCCGCCCGACCCAGGTATAGAGGTTGCTGCTCTAGGTGCGAGTGAGTCTGCTGTCTCTGGTACTGTGCCTGCTAAGGCCTTGCACACCTTTACTCTTGACTCAGGTGCTTCCCGCTATTTCTTTCACGATAGTACCACTTTCACACCACTCCCTGTACCAATTGCAGTCTCTCTGGCTGACCCCTCAGGGGGACCAGTTCTTGCACGTTCGTCCACTGTTCTCCCGTATGCGGCGGTTCCGTCCGGCTCACTGTCGGCTCTTCACCTCGCCTCGTTCTCTACGAACTTGGTGAGTACTGCAGCCCTCGAGGATGCGATGGTCACTACCACCACTCCTAGGGGTCAGCGTGTGTCGATCTGCACGTGTACACGGATGGGCCGTCACCTGGCCACGTTCACCCGTCAGCCTGGGTCGAGTCTGTACACACTGACTACTGCGCCTCCTCAGGTAGCTGCGTCTGGTCAGGTGTCCTCGTTAGGTCAGGTAGCAGCCCCTTGTTCGTGTCGCCTCCTGTCCCACCAGACTCTCCTTTGGCACCACCGCCTTGGTCACCCCTCCCTGCCACGCCTCCATGGCATGCACTCCCGCCTTCTTGTCTCTGGTCTTCCCAGGTCTGTGCCTCGCCTCCCGCCCTCGCCTGCCCCTCCCTGCCTTCCTTGCGTCGAGGGGCGGAAGCGCGCCGCTCCTCATTCCTCCTCGTTTCCCCGGACGACTGCTCCACTGCAGACTCTCTAATGGACGTGTGGGGCCCAACCCGCATCAGTGGAAAAGGCTGCGGGCAATACTTTCTGCTGGTTGTTGACGTCTACTCGCATTACATCACGGTGCAAGGGGGAGGTCCCTGATGTTTTGATTCCTTGGATCCACGCTGTCCGTCTCCAGCTCCGCGAGCAGTTCCGCCAGGACCTTCTTGCCCTTCGTCTGCACTCTGACAGAGGTGGTGAGTTCTCCTCCGACCTCTTGCGGGACTTTTGTCGTGTGGAGGGCATCCTCCAGTCGTTCACGCTTCGGGCCTCCCCGCAGCAGAATGGGATTGCTGAGCGCGGCATTGGCTTAGTCATGGAGGTGGCTCGTACCTCCATGATCCATGCAGCTGCTCCCCATTTTCTGTGGCTGTTTGCGATCCGGTACGCTGCACATCAGCTCAACCTCTGGCCCCGTGTCTCCTTGCCGGAGACCTCGCCTACACTGCGTTGGACGGGACAGGTTGGCGATGCGTCGGTGTTCCCGGTCTGGGGCTCTCGTGCCTTTGTCCGTGATACCTCCGCGGACAAGCTCTCCTCCAGCACTATTTTCTGTGTCTTCCTTGGCTTTCCCCATGACGTGCCTGGCAGGTAGTTTTACCACCCCACTACGCGCCGTGTCCTGCCCTATCAGGACGTCACGTTTGACGAGTCGGTTCCTTTTTACCATCTCTTCCCCTACCGCACCGCCCCTCTCTCACACCCACCACTCTTTCTCGCTCCTGGTCCCCCTCCGGTAGACCCCCTCCCCCCTCAGGGTCATGCTCTTTCAGGTGTGTTTCAGGTAGAACCAATCCCCTAAGCTGAGCCTGTCGAGGTCACTTCCGACACCTCTGGCTCACCTGAGGGGGGTTACGTTGCTGCTGACGACGCGGCAGCCCCTCGCCGCTCACCATGCTTGGAGACCCCTCTAGGTTTCCGGCCTCGACCGTCTTCGCCGACTCTGCAGCCGGTTGCTGTCGACTCTGGTGCAGCTGAGGGTGGTGCTACTAAGGGTGCTGAGCCTGGGGGTGCTGAGCCTGGGCGTGCTGAGCTTGAGGGTGCGGAGCCTGGGGGTGCTGAGTCTGAGGGTGCTGAGCCTGGGGGTGCTGAGCCTGGGGATGCTGAGCCTGGGTGCTGAGCCTGAGGGTGCGGAGCCTGGGGGTGCTGAGTCTAGGGGTGCTGAGCCTAGGGGTGCTGAGCTAGAGGGTACTGCGTCTAGGGGTACTGAGCCTAGGGGTACTTCGTCTGCTGGAGGTTCTACGGGTGTCTCACAACAGCTGCCTAGCCGGCGGGAGCCTCTCTCCCCACAGCATTTGCGCGAGTGATTTGCTCGACACACCCGCCTTCGGAGTGGCATTGCCAGAGCTAGAGGCCCTGCCACTGGAGGCGCTGGAGCTGGAGGCACTGGAGTTGGAGGCGCTAGAGCTGCTAGTCCCGGAGGTGCTAGAGGTAATGTTGGTGCTGGAGGCGTTGGAGGTGGAGGTACCGGAGGTGCTGGAGCTGCTAGTCATGGAGGTGCTCGTACTGGAGGTACTGGAGCTGCCAGAGCTGGTGGTGCTGCTGGCGCTGTGGGGTGCTGGTGCTGTTGGTGCTGGAGGTGCTAGAGGTGCTACTGGTACTGGAGGCACTGGAGGTGCTCCTGGTGCTAGAGGCGCTAGAGCTAGAGGTACCAGGGGTGATGGAGCTGCTGATCTTGGAGGTGCTCGTACTGGAGGTGCTAGAGCTGCCAAAGCAGGTGGTACTGCTGGTGTTGGAGGTGCTGGAGGTGTTGTTGGAGCTACTAGTACTGCCCCGCTCCGACCGTTTTTCTACCCGCAGCCGCAGTCGTCCCTGCCTCCGCCTGACTCGGTCCTTCGCTAGGTTCTTAGTATCCCGTCCTCCACTGGAATCACTCCACCTCTCCTGTGTCCACCGGCAGACCAGTCTAAGCCACAGTCACTGCCTGGATCCCCGTTGCCTGCTCGTGCTCCTTCACTGAGGTGACTGAGTTCCTGACTGAGCGTCGTGAGCCTGAGACTCGTGCTTCCACACCTGTCCGTGCTGGTCGTGTCGCCCGTCCTTGTCCTCCCCCTGTGCCAGGTACTCACACTATGGCACTTCGTCCTTCCTCTGTTCCCCAGCGAGTTCCCCTGCCGTCTCCTCCGGCGTCCTCCCTTCCTGCCGTTCCGGACCCTGAGTCTGACTTGGTTCGTGCTGCCATCCCTACTCTCACACGTCTTCTAGCCACAATTGTCATTGGCCCTTCGTTTGAGTCCGCTGCTGCGTCTGCCTTAGTTGCTGAGCTTGTTGACTTTGCTGCTGCGTGTCGTTTCGACTATGCCACAAGTCTTGTTGCTGAGTCTGAGTCTGACTGTCCTCCGTACGTCTGGGGCGAGTGTGTTCTTGGCACGGACGTCCTTGAGCACAGGCAGGAGGACTTTGAGTGTCTTGCAGCTGCTGTACCTCATCTCGTAGCTATGCTACTCGCACCTAAGAGAGACCCGGATGCACCAAACATCCCGACCCCGCGCTATTACGCTGAGGTGATCACATGTCCCTACTCCTTTCACTGTCAGACAGCCATAGACGCAGAGATGGCATCGTGGAAGTCCACAGGCACTTACAACGACGAAGTTCCCCCTCCTGGGACGAACATAGTCGATGGCATGTGGATTTTCAGGGTGAAGCGGCCGACGGGTTCTCCGCTTGTCTTCAAAGCTCGTTACGTTGCACGAGTCAGCGACAGGGAGTTGACTTTTTCCAGACCTTCTCCCCTACCCCAAAGATGACCACTCTTCGGGTGCTGCTGCACGTCGCCGCTTAGCGTGACTACCAGCTTCACTCTCTTGACTTCAGCACAGATTTCTTACAGAGCAGCCTTCACGAGGAGATCTGGCTGCGCCGCCCACCTGGCTTCACTGGGTCGTCTCCTGCATGTACCCAGTGGAGCCTTCGGCAGCTAGTCTACGGTCTCCGCCAGGCGCCTCGTCAGTGGCACGACACACTGAGGACGACACTTGCGGCTCTTGGGTTTGCTCTTTCGACTGCTGACCTGTCGCTGTTTCTGCGCAACGACACTTCGCTACCGCTGTCCTACATCCTCGTGTACCTCGACAACTTAGTTTTTGCCACTGCTGACACTGAGGCACTCGCCCTTGTGAAGTTGGAGCTGGAGAAGAGACACACGTGCACATACCTACGTAAGCTGCGTTGCTATCTTGGCTTGCAGATCACCCGGGACAGAGCACGGCGCACCATCACCCTGACTCAGTCACACATGGTGCACCAGGTCCTTCAGCGCTTCCACTTCCTGTTCTCTTCGCCACAGCCTACTCCTTCGCCTAACACCCACTCGCTCTCAGCTCCACCTTCAGACGAGTCCGTAGAGCCGAGTGGCCTGTATCCAGAGCTTGTGGGCTGCCTCATGTACCTGATGACCTGCACTCGACCTGACCTTGCCTACCCTCTTAGCATCCTGGCTTGCTACGTTGCGCTCGGGAGACACTGACCAGAGAACTGGGAGGCCGCTCAGAGGGTGTTGCACTACCTGTGCAAAACATCGGGCATGGGGCTCGTGCTTGGAGGACGGGGTCCAGTTGTCCTCACAAAACATGCACACGCGTCTTGGGTTGACGACTTGGCTACGCAGCAATCGTCAAAGGGTTACACTTTCAGCCTTGGCTCTGGCTCTGTTCCTTGGTGGTCTACCCGCTCGTCTTCTGTTCTCAGTTTCGGTTGTGATGTTGAGATCTACGTAGGGGCGATAACTGCACAGGAGTTACGGTGGCTCACCTACCTGCTGACCAGCTTGGGAGAGCGGCCTTGTTCTCCTCCTGTACGTGGACAACAAGGTCATAATTGCCTTGTGTCAGAAGCACAAACTGGAGCACAGGACGAAGCACATCGCTCTGTGTTACTTCCTTGCTCGAGAGTTGTAGCAGCGTGGTTACCTTCGTCTTGCTTACGTGGCCACTCGGGCCAACACTGCTGATATATTTACCAAGCCACTTCAGCCTGGTGATCATCAACGTTTCTGTACTGCTTTAGGCCTTGTGCCTGCTTTGTCTCACTTGCTCACTTCGTGACGTTGCTTGTACTGTGATCTATATACATATACATGCATGCCTACACTTGCTAGGTTATGATTACTGCATTGTTTGTTCTCTTTTATATAACTCTGCATGTGAACTGACCTTGTGGCCATTTGCTTGTGCTCGGAATGTGTGGTGACTTCGTGATCCACCCTGAGCTTGTGTTGTTTTTTCTTGACTAGTCTTGTGACCTCCTATTCTCCCCCACTTTGCCTATGGGAGTGTGTTAAAATGTTATAGTGCTTATACTTGTTGAGATAGGAGCACAAGTGGTAGTTAAGTTTAGGTAGGGCCTAGGCTTAGTGGCCTAGGCCAAGGGGAAGTCGAGAAAGCTGTGCCAAGGAGAAAGTCGAGAATGGGGATGATGTTCAGTATAGCACTAGGGTACATATAGCAAACAGAGCATGCAAAGAAGGTGCATCACCAACAGTTTATAATAACTACACTAAACTACAGCTACAGGGAGTTACATATATATTCTAACACTCCCCCATAACTGCCTGCAGCAGGAGTTTGTGCAGAACACAACCTGCAGGGGTACACCAGCAACAGCAACAGCAGGCACGGTAACAGAGCAGGTACAGCAGCAAAGGGACAGGCGACAGCAAGACACTCCTGCCACCCCCTTACTCTCCTCCCCCCCCCCGACCACAAGAGGGGCAGCAGGGAGAGAGAGGAGGCGGGCTGGCTCTGGCTGGTCACCCCCTCCATCCCCTCACCCTCCCCCTCCCCCTCCCCCCCACACTGCTGCAGGAGCAGCAGAGGGGGGAAGAGAGGAGAGGTGGAGGGACGGCTGCTGGTTGGTCTCACACCCGCCACCCCAGTGCCACTCCCCCGGCTCCCCCACAACCTCACACCCTACCCCCTAGTGGCAGCTGCAGCAGTGGGAACGAAAGGAGGAGGAGGGGAAGGGAAGCACACCACCCATCACCCCCACACCCGCCACCCCCATACCCTCCCCCCGACGGCTGCAGGGAGACGAAGGAGGAGGGGGTGGGCGGGGAGAAAGCCGCAGAGCGGCTACAGAGGGTCGGCGCGGGTAGGTCAGGGGCGGCTGCAGCGAGTGCAGGCGCGGGGTGAGGCAGAGGCGGCTGCACCGAGTCCAGGAGCGGGGGCGGGTGCTCCAAGGGCAGGCACTGGTTGGTGCAGAGGCGGCTGCAGCGAGTGCAGGCGCGGGTGAGTCAGGGGCACCGCCGCTGGCGCCAGGGGCGGATCCGCGGCGACTCAGGGCACCGATGCGGGCGCCAGTGGCGGATCCGCGGCGGCTCAGGGCATCGTCGCACACCACGGGGCACGCGACGGGCAGTTTAGGGCACCGTCGCGTGCCACGGGGCGCACGACGGGCAGGGCACCGTCGTGTGCCACGGGGCGCAAGACGGGCAGGGCACCGTTGCGTGCCACGGGGCGCACGACGGGCAGGGCACCATTGCGTGCCACAGGGCGCACGACGGGCAGGGCACCGTCGCGTGCCACGGGGCGCGCGACGGGCAGAAAAGATGTCACGCGCCACCCGGGCGCGGGACAGGACGAAAATCGCCACGCGCCCGAGGCGCGCGACCGGAAAAACAGCAGCGGAAGCGTGAGGCGGGCCCACAGGCCTGGACTTAACAGTCTCTGATTCCATTTTGAAATAGGAGCACAAGTGGTAGTTAAGTTTAGGTAGGGCCTAGGCTTAGTGGCCTAGGCCAAGGGGAAGTCGAGAAAGTTGTGCCAAGGGGAAAGTCGAGAATGGGGATGATGTTCACTATAGCACTAGGGTACATATAGCAAACAGAGCATGCAAAGAAGGTGCACCGCCAACAGTTTATAATAACTACACTAAACTACAGCTATAGGCAGTTACATATATATTCTTACACTATTGTGTAGGCTGTAGTGGGGTAGCCCATAAGGGGTACAACTCAATTAGGGTTAGTACTTGTACCCACTTTGATCTTAGTCCATTCATTCTCGTTCAGATTTCTGACACAACCGCTGTTGGGGGGAAGATCTGCAAGACCATCCTTAGCGAGAAACCAGTACAGAGGGACGAACATAGTGATGGGTGCGTCGGCCTTGTAGACGAACATCGCGATATGCAGGTAGCGGATGATGTGGCGAGTAGACGAATCCGTCTCCTGCCACCTTGTCAAAGTCACTTGCTTCTCCTTAGCCGCAAGTGACCGAGCCTTGTTCTCTAGGGCCTGTTTATGTGCTCGGGTAGATGAGTGAACACGAATGGTTCCAAGTTGCAAGTCACGGCCACCCTCACCCTTCGCGCCGTAGACTGTGCGAGCGGTAGGATCGCCGTACTGAATGCAGATTTTACATTTCAGCAAAGGTCTCCTGTTGGTCCGACGATGTAGCCGTAACCAATCAAATTTCACTGCCCAATCAGTATCATACCTGTGCTTGTACGCTGCGTACTCAGCTTCAGCGGTGACGGTTGGTGGTCTGGGATCGGCAGGAGCTTCGGTGCGCGTTGGTGATGCATCCTTCTTTGGTGGCGGGGCGCCCCAGAGCCTCTGCTGAGTGTATTTCACCCTGACCCGCGGCCTTTTGCCCAGCGTGCTGTTCACCATCTACGGGGACGCAGTAGAAGGCCTGCACCTGCCTTTATCGCTGCCAGGAACAAGAACCAGTGACGGGTGTGGCTCATTAGCACTAGGAGAATTGGGCCGCTCGACTGCAAACACATAGCCGACGCTTTGCACGGGCGAGGCATCACGAGGCGGTTGTGCGATGGGAACGGTGTAGCTCTCAGATAGCTTGGGAAGAACACCAAGAACTGAGAGCCCGTTTCTTGGGCCCGTTTCCCAGGCGGTTCCTTCTCTTGCTCGGCTGGTATGACTAGCTGGTGCTACTCTGTGAGACTTCGGGGAAGTGCAAGAGAGAGGTGAGGAAGATGGGTTCCCTTTGGGAAGGAAGGACCCCCTCCGCACCACGCATAGCTGTCGATGAAGCGAGGAAATGCATTGCAGGTACAGGATGTCACGTGATGGCATGCCAACTGCAGCGCTGGGAAAGACGAGCCACACATCGCGGCAGTTTTGCTGTGCTGTCATAAAAACAGCCACAGTTGGCAGGGACTATGAGCTGTATTGGCAGCATCCACGGGTGCGCTGGCACGAATCTTGCCGAACACACCAATGGGTATAACTTTGGGGTCGGTGGGGGGGGGTTTGGCAGTTTCTCACCATAGGGCGGGTGCGACAAGATGGCGGAGTGGCACCGCGTCTTAGGTGCAATGTATGTGTTGTGTAGCAGAATCCTAGCTTCCGAGAACTCGGTATTAGGGTAAGTGGGAGAGAACAATGATGAAGTGAGGGGAACAAAATGCGAACTTTGAATCTATAAGGGTAAAAAAAATCAATCATTTTTTGAGTCAGTGTTCAAAGCCTGGGAGCCTGACTAAGTCAGGGTACTTAGAAAAAAAAAGCGGCCGCCAGTCAGGGCAGTCAGGGTAAAATACCCTGACATTTTGGGGTCGGGGCACGACGGGAACATTCCATCCCCCGCCACATGGAGTCACGCGGGTGGGGTGCTAAGCTACAGCTCAAGGGGCAGCACGAGGTGGGGAGGGATGTGAGCGAGCCACGGTGGCAGGGCGTGCAGCACGCGCCCGAAGCCTCTCAGCTGGGCGCCATAGTGCTGTGCCACCCTGCCCCACGCATGCACCTCCACACCCTCCCCCCACTCTGCTGCCCCGTCCCCTCCCTCTGCCTCCTCCCCCGCCCCTTCACTGCCTGCTGTGTGCCTTACTGCCACCACTGTCCCTCCCTCCTTCCTGCGTCCCTACTCTCCGTCTACCATACTGCACTGCTCCCCATCCCGCGCAGGATTGCCTCCCTTCCTGCCCACCTCCTTGCTGCCCCCGTGCCACCGCTTCACCACTTTCCACTCCCCTCCCTCGCCTGCCCCCCACGCTCTGCTGCCTCCCTCTGCCCTCACCCACTCTTGCTCCTCTTCCACACGCCTCTCCTCTTCCACACGCCTCTCCTCTTCCACACGCCTCTCCTCTTCCACACGCCTGTCCTCTTCCATACGCCTCTCCTCTTCCACACGCCTCTCCTCTTCCACACGCCTCTCCTCGTCCACACGCCTCTCCTCTTCCACATGTCTCTCCTCTTCCACACGCCTCTCCTCGTCCACACGCCTCTCCTCTTCCACACGCCTCTCCTCTTCCACACGCCTCTCCTCTTCCACACGCCTCTCCTCTTCCACACGCCTCTCCTCGTCCACACGCCTCTCCTCTTCCACACGCCTCTCCTCTTCCACACGCCTCTCCTCTTCCACACGCCTCTCCTCTTCCACACACCTCTCCTCTTCCACACGCTTCTCCTCTTCCACACGCCTCTCCTCTTCCACATGCCTCTCCTCTTCCACACGCCTCTCCTCTTCTACACGCCTCTCCTCGTCCACACGCATCTCCTCTTCCAAGCCCCTCTCTCCCATTCCCCCCTCGTCTGAGCCACTCAGACCACACACGCACGCGTCACCTGAACCATGAGCATGATCCATCATCACACGTGACCAATAGAGCCCCAAGAAGGAGGGATGGCATAGCGTGGCAGCAGCTGTGTTTAGCAAACAGTTGTTAAGTTTGTTGTTAGGCTTGTGAAAAACGTTTGTGAAAAGGAAGTTGACAATAACTAGTTTCGAGCCTTCTTCAGACCACAGGTTCAATGAGAAGCAAGCTAGGCTAAATACCAACCCCCAGGGCTCAATCGCGAGGCATTCCTCCGCGTGGTCAGGGAAGGTGGGGGAAAACTAGATGAGAACAGTAGAAAAAGACCTACAGTAAACAAGCACTTATGAGCTGAAATCAGATCATTACCAACTCGTCTTGGTAAACTCCAAGCGAGAATTGCCCTGCGTGTAGAAGAGATACCGTGTGACATTATACCGAGCTGACTTTTGAGTCGACTCAAAATGTTCCCCAAGCGCGAACGGTCAACCAACGGGTTGAGCAGAAGTTTCAGCACTAGGGGGGCACGGGTTGGAGAGTTGTGAATTGCAGAGGCGCGTTGGAGTAGTTCCCTACGAGCAGAGAAATTTCTCCTTTAGCGAAGAGGACTGACTTGAAGATCGGAAGGAGAAATTTCTCCAAGTACCCACGAGCTCGTAAGCGAGAGAAGAATAAGGCGCCGGAGTTAAGGAAGTCAGACCGGGAGGAGGAGCGTAAGAGAAATCTTTGCAGCTCACTCCGAATGAAACCGACTTTTGTAGACTGGGTGTGATAAGACTTGAAAGGCAGGTACAGGTACCGATTCATCGGCTTCTGATACAGGTTCATGTCGAGAGTACTAGAACTTGAAAATCTTTGCCCCTTAATGACTGTCAGGTCCAAAAAATCCATTGTAGTTTCTGAAACCACCCATGTTAGTCAGATAGAAGGATGAAGTGAAGCGAACCGTTGCCGTAAACATTCAAACTCTGCTCTCGTTCCGTCCCAAAGAATCAACCCGTCATCAATTAAACGAAGATGAAGAGCGGGAGTGAGTTTCAGCGATGCGTGAAGTTGAATGTCCAGATAACTGAGTAACAGCACAGCGAAGCAAACAGCCACCGAAGTTCCCATGGCAGTGCCTTGGATCTGACGGAAAAAATGGTCATTGAAAGAGAACAATCTGCTGAACATCACCCATCGTAAGAGGCAAATAATAACTAGCGCGAGAGGGTGCCGCTCCTTCTGTAAAAAATAGGCAACAACATCGATGCCATCCCAGAGCAGAATTGACGGGTACAAAGACTCAACGTCATGAGACGCTAGTAGCAGCTTAAAAGAAAAAAATTGTTGCTCAAGTTGAAGAATAAGACTTTTAGAGTCCTTCACGTATGCCGGCTGTTTAAGAACCAATGGCCGTAGAATAGAATCCAGCCAGCGCAACACATAAGTTGTGATCTATGAAGAAATGAGGAATGAATGAACTAGCAAGCAGGTGGGTACAAGTAGGAAAACCTAAAAGTGTTGTACCCCATATTGTCTACCCCACTACAGCCTACACATACTATAGCATATGAGTTTGACACTCCCCCATAGGCAAAGTGGGGGAGAACAAGAGGTCACAAGACCTGTCAAGTAAAGCAAAGAAAGCTCAGGGTGGATCACAACGTCACCACACATTCCGAGCACAAGTTCAAGGCCACAAGGCCAGTTCACATGCAAGATCATATATAAAGGTAAACAAGCAAGTGCAGGTATAGAAAGATCACAGTACAAGCAAGGTCAAGAAGTGAGCAAGTGAGGCCAAGTAGGCACAAGACCTAGCATCGTACAGCAGCGCTGATGATCACAAGGCGGAAGTGCCTTGGTAAAGATATCAGCAGTGTTGGCCTTAGAGGCCACGTAAGCAAGGCGCAGCTGACCACGCTGCTGCTCACGAGCAAGGAAGTAGCGAAGAGCAATGTGCTTTGTTCTGTGCTCCAGTCTGTGCTCCCGACACAAGGCCAGCATGGCCTTGTTGTCTACGTACAGATTTGGAGGAGAACGAGGCGGCTCTCCTAGGTCAGTCAGCAGGTAGGTGAGCCAGCATAGCTCCTGTGCAGCCATGGCCCTTGCCTAGATCTCTGCCTCACAGCAGGAGCTGAGAACAGAGGACGAGCGGGTAGACCGCCACGAAACAGAGCCGGAGCCAAGGCTGAAGGTGTAACCCTGTGATGACCGCTGCAGAGCCTGATCGTCAGCCCAAGAAGCGTCAGCGTGACCTGTGAGGACCACTCGACGTCGCCCTCCAAGCACTAGCCCCATGCCCGACGTACTGCACACGTAGCGCAACACCCTCTTCGCTGCAGCCATGTGCTCTGGTCGGTGTCTCCCAGGAGCAACATAGCGTGCCAAGATGCTAAGAGGGTATGCAAGGTCAGGTTTTGTGCAGGTCATCAGGTACATGAGGCAGCCAACAAGCTCTGGGTACGGGCCACTCGGCTCTACAGACTCATCCGAAGGCAGAGCTGAGAGCGAGTGGCGAGTAGACAGAGGAGTGGCCTGAGGCGAGGAGTACGTGAAGTCGAAGCGCTGAAGGACCTGCTGCACCATGTGTGACTGAGTCAGGGTAATGGTGCGCTGTGCTCTGTCCCGAGTGATCTGCAAGCCAAGGTAGCTGCGCAGTTCACCCAGGTCTGTGCACGTGTGTCTCTTCTGCAGCTCGGCCTTCATGTGGGCGAGTCCAGCAGTGTCAGCCGTAGCAAAGTCCTCGTCGACGTACACGAGGATGTAGAACGGCGGCAAAGAGGTGTCGGTGCGCACAAACAGCGACGGGTCAGTAGTAGGAGGAGCAAACCCAAGAGACGCAAGTGTAGTCCTCAGTGTGTCGTGCCACTCACGGGGCGCCTGGCGGAGACCGTAGACTGGCCACCGGAGGCTTCACTAGGTACCAGGAGGGAACGACCCAGTGAAGCCAGGTGGGCGGCGCAGCCAGATCTCCTCGTGCAAGCTGCCCTGCAAGAAAGCTGTGCTGAAGTCAAGAGAGTGAAGCTCGTAGTCGCGATGAGCGGCTATGTGCAGCAGCACCCGAAGAGTGGTCATCTTTGGGGTGGGAGAGAAAGTCTGAAAGTAGTCAACTCCCTGCCGCTGATTGAAGCCTCGAGCCACATAACGCGCCTTGAAGACACGCGGAGAACCCGCCGGCCGCTTCACCTTGAAAATCCACATGCCACTGACGATGTTCGCCCCAGGTGGGGGAACCTCGTCGACGTAGGTGCCTGTGGACTTCCAGGAGGCCATCTCTGCGTCCATGGCTGACTACCAGTGTGACGAGTAGGGACCCTCGATCGCCTGTGTGTACGATCGAGGAGTCGGGATGTCTGGTGCATCCGGGTCTCCGTCAAGAGCAATCAGCGTGGACACGAGATGAGGCAAAGCAGCAGCAAAACACTAGAACTCCTCCTGCCTGTCCTCAAGGACGTCCGTGCTAAGAGCACACTCACCCCCGACGGACGGAGGACACACAGACTCCGACTCAGCAACAAGACTAGCAGCATAGTCTTGACGATAGCGAGTAGCAAAGTCGACAAGCTCAGCAACTAAGGCAGACACAGCAGTGGACTCAAAGGAAGGGTCAGTGACAACACTAGCCAGGAGACGCGTGACAGAAGGACTAGCAGCAAGACGAGAGTCAGACTCCGGGTCAGCAAGGACAGGAAGAGAGGACTCAGGAGGAGAAGGCAAAGGGACACGCAGAGGAGCAGTGGAAGAACGCAGTGCCATCTGGTGTGTGCCTGGGACCGCAGGAGGACGCGGACGCGGAGCACAACGACTAGTGCGAGCAGTAAGAACAGGCGACGCAGGACGAGACGCAGGCTCACGACGCTCAGCAAGACCTCTAGTAGGACCAGTGTAGGGAGAAGGAGCAGGCAGGGGGGAGGCGGGCTGTAAGTGTGACTACGACTAGACAGGCTGTGGACACTCTAAGAGAGGATCAGGACCAGTAGAAGGCGGGAGACCAAGAACCTGCTCAACGAGCGGAACGAAGTACAGCCGCGGCCGCGCAGCGCCTCGAGAACCAGCAGGGACAGCACCAGTACCCCCAGCGACAGCACCAACGCTAGCAGTACCTCCAGCTCCAACAGCGCCAACTTCAGCACCCTCAGAAGCACTAGTGCCAGTATCACCTCCAGTGCCAACACCCCCAGCAGATCCAGCTCCAGCAGCACCAACTCCAGCAGGACCATCAGCTCTAGCAGCCTCAACAGCACCCCCAGGCCCAGCAGCTCCAGTACCGCCGGTACGAAAACCTCCAGGACCAGTGGTTCCTGTAACTCCGGTGCCGACCCCAGGGTCAGCAGTAACAGCAGCACCTCCAGCTCCAGCAGCACGGCTCCAGCGCCGGGCAAACTACTCGCGCTGCTCCTGTGGAGAGGGTAGCTCCCGCCTCGACGAAGCACCCGAAGGGACCCCAAACCCAGCACCGCCAGAGGCCACACGAGCAGACCCAGCACCCTCAGGCTCCGCTCCCCAAGGCTCAGCACCCCCAGGCTTCGTACCCCCAGGCTCGGCACCCCCAGGCTCAGCACCCCCAGGCTCCGCACCCCCACGCCCAGCACCCCCAAACTCTGCACCCCCAGGCCCAGCACCCCCAGACTCAGCACCTCTGGGCTCAGCACCCCTAGCAGTACGAGCGTCAACAGCTACCTCGACAGGCTCGACTGCGTCTACCTGGGACACACCTGACGGGGCAGGACCCAGAGGGGGGAGGGGGTCTACCAGGGGGGGACCTGGCGTAAGAAAGAGCGGCGGCGGGGGGAGGGGTGCAGTGCGGTAGGGGAAGAGTCGGTAGTAAGGAACCGACTCATAAAACGTGACGTCCTGGGGGGACGGAACATGGCGCGAGGTGGGGTGGTAAAACTGCCAACTAGGCGCGTCAGTGGGGAAGCCAAGGAAGACGCACGGAACCGCACGGGGGGACAGTTTGTCCGCAGGCAAGTTCGGACAAACGCTCGAGATCCCCAGACACGAAACGCAGACGCATCGCTAACCTTCCCCGTCCACCGTAAGGTGGGGGAGGTCTCCGGCAAGGAGACCCGGGGCTGAAGGTTGATCTGAAGAGCTGCGTACCGAACCGCAAACGGCCACAGAAAATGGGGAGCAGCCGCATGGATCATGGACGTACGAGCGACGTCCATGACCATGCCAGTGCGGCGCTCAGCAATCCCATTTTGCTGTGGAGAGGCCGGAAGCATGAAGGTCTGGCGGATGCCCTGTGCACGACAGAAGGCTCCCAGAAGTGCACATGAAAACTCCCCGCCTTTGTCAGAGTGCAGACGCAGAACAGGAAAGTCCGAGCCGAAACTCTCTCTGAGCTAGAGACGAGCCGCGCGGATCCAGTCGATCAACACCTTAGTGACGACACCCTTGCTGTGCAAGGGGAACACCGTGGTGTAACGCGAGTAGTCGTCAACCACCAACAGGAAGTAACGCTCTTGACCCTGGCCACGGACGCGGGCGGGGCCCCACACGTCCATGTGAAGAGTCTGCAGCGGAGCCTCTGTCGGAGGAAACTCGGAGGAGTGAGGGGCGGCGCGCTGCCGCCCCTCGACGCAGGGAATGCAGGTAGGGGCAGGCCCCGGAGGGAGGGGAGAAAGAGACCGGGGGAGACCAGAGACAAGGACACGGGAGGCCATGCCTCGGAGACGAGGCAGGGAGGGGTGACCAAGGCGGTGGTGCCACAGGAGACACCTGGTGGGACAGGAGACGACACGAGCAGGGAGCAGTCTCAGGACCAGACCTGGACGCTGCAGCAAACACCTGACTCGACGCAGCTACCTGACCAGACTCAGCAACCAGAGGAGACTCACTAGTCAGTGTGTACAGGCTCGACCCCGGCCGACGGGTAAACGTGGCCAAGTGTCGGCCCGTCCCAGCACACGTACAGTGGGTCACCCGCTGACTCGCAGGAGTGAACTGGTCAACCCCCCCATCCTGTAGATCAGCACCACTCACCAAGTTCGTAGAGAACGAGGGGAGGTAGAGACCTGACAGGGTGCCAGAGGGGACTGCCGGACACGGTAACACAGTGGAGAAGTGAGCAAGGACAGGACCCCCAGAGGGGTCCGCTTGGGAGACCGCAACCGGCCGACTAAGCGGCGTAAGCGTGGTGCGGTCTCGAAAGTAGGAGCGAGAAGCACCCGAGTCAAGGGTGAAGGTGTGTAAGGCCTGAGCCGACGTGGTACCTGAGAGAGCAGACTCACCAGCACCTGGGGCAGCAGACGCACTAGCACCTAGAGCAGCAGCCTCACCCGCACCTAGAGCAGCAGCCTCAATGCCCGGGTCAGGCGGAACACACAGGTAGCAGTCACCCTCATCACTAGTAGACACAGCATACATGGCAGCAAGAATAGCATCATAATCAAGATCGAAGATAGCAACCCCCGACCTCTGCAGCTCTCCCCAGCGAGGGATCTTTGTGGCGTCAGGGAATTGGAGACGCCACGCGTCCGTCAGGCGGCCGAAGCAGCGCTGGGTGGGGTGTGGGCCCCTGCACTGCTCACCCGTACGGTCGCCGATACGCAGGACGTAGGTACAGGGACCAGTACCCCCACCCCGCTGACGCGAAGTGTACCACTCACGAAGGTGCTGGGGGGGCGGGGTCTCACGAGTGCGCTGCTGCTGCTTGCGCTGACCACCACCAAAGCCTGCTAGGGGCAGACGCAGCGCCGACCGACTCGGTGCCAATGAAGTCGACGGCAGCAACAGAGGCAAGAGAGGGCAAATGGGGGGAGGGGGAGCACCCCTCAAAGACAGGGGCACGAGGGTCACCTCGAGAGGCTCCTACAGCGACTATACTCTTCTCAGCTGCCAGGAGGCGCTCCTCGAGGAGGTCAACGGTGAGAGTGGTGGGGCAAATTGAGAGGAAGTGGTCCGTGACTGACCGAAGGGAGTCAGGGAGCCGGGTGACTATGTAGTAGAGGGTGATGTACATGGGGGGGGGGGTTCTTGGCGCAGAACTCAGTAGGAAGCGCAGCGCGGTAGCGAGTGTCACTAGTGCGAAGGTGCGTAACAAGGTCAGCGACAGTGGGAAAGGCGGCGAGGTCAAGAAACAGGTACGGCAGCATGAGACGGCTAAGAGCAGCAGTGGCAGGGGAAGAGTAGCGTGCAACTACAGCGTCGTACAAGGTCTTAGCACTCTTGTACTGACTAAAGTGCGCACGCTCAGTGGTTGGTAAGTGGCGACGCACAGCAAGACGGGGAGCAGCATCGCGTGTGGCCCACTGTGAGCAAACAGTGCTGTCAGCATCAGCAGATGGGGCAGGGGAGGCACCAGAGGTGAGATCGAATAGGGAGAGTCCGTCTGCCCTATCGCACTGTAGGTTGAGTTGTAGGTCATCGATCCAGACCTCGAAGTCAAGAGCACGACCCTCAGCATCAAAGGTAAGGACACTAGGGGTAGCCATGACAGCAGTGGTCTAGCAGGGAGTGCTCTCACCAGTCTGGGTGGGTAGGGCCGGGGCGCGCCGGTAGGAACAGGGCTGCAACCGCGGTAGCAGCGGTTCGGCAGTGGCAGCAGCGGCTTGGTAGTGGCGGCTCGGCGGCCTCGGCGGCTCGGCGGCTCGGCGACTCGGCGGTTCGGCGGCTCGGCGGCTCGGCGGTTCGGCTGCTTGGCGGCTCGGCGGCTCGGCGTTGAAGGGGCCGGGGAGGGGCCGAAAGGGGGCGGCAACGGGGCCGCTAGGGGCGGCGACGGGGCCGCTAAGGGCGGCGACGGGGCCACGAAGGGGGGGCGACAGGGCCGAGAAGAGGCCGCGAGGGGCCGTGAAGGGCGACGACGGGGCCGCTAGAGGCGGCGTTGGGGGCCGCACGGGGCGGCGACGGGGCCGCAAAGGGGTCTGCGAGGGGCCTCGAAGGGCGGCGACGCGACCGTTAGGGGTGGCGACGCGGCCGTTAGGGGTGGCGACGGGGGCCGCACGGGGCGGCGACGGGGCCGCAAAGGGGCTGCGAGGGGCCTCGAAGGGTGGCGACAAGGCCGCTAGGGGTGGCGACGGGGCCGCTAAGGATGGCCCGAGGGGCCACTAGGAGGGCGCGTCAGGCCGCTAAGGGCAGGGGACGCGACGAGAGGGCGGCCCACGGGGCGCGCCTCGGGTAGGGGCGGCTCGCGATTCGGTCAGGAAAAAAAAAAATCGATTTCAGTGGTGGGCCCTAAGAAGCGTTCCCACTAGGGAGCCTGCTCTATACCATGTGAAGAAATGAGGAATGAATGAACTAGCAAGCAGGTGGGTACAAGTAGGAAAACCTAAAAGTGTTGTACCCCATATTGTCTAACCCACTGCAGCCTACACAGACTATAGCTTATGAGTTTGACATGATCCACGAACGACAGGCGGCAATAGGCCTCCCAGCAGGAACCTTCTTATGAATTTTCAGCAGCACGTAGAACGCTGGCACTTTCCAGCCGTTCTTAGGCCGATTGAAGAAAGAGTTCCACATCTTGGATTTAATGAGCGGGTCCCATTCAGAGCAAATAGAATGTAGCTCTTAAAGTATGTTAGAGACGGAGACTGTATAATATTCCTTGTAGACCTTTTCGTTGAGCACGTGTTTCAGACATTGCTCCTGATAATATTCTATGCTCATAACTGTCAGGCCCAGGTTCTTATCTGCAGGCTTGAAAATGATGTTAGGATTATTGGCAAGTCGTCTTAAAGTCGGTAGCACATTCTTATATTTCTGCTTCAGGGGTGGAGAAGTTCAGTCCAGGTTCTTCCTTAAAGAGCTCCAGTGCGGTTTCAACTTCAGGTGAAGCTGCCGGTGGGTCCCTGTTTTTCGTTTAGGTAGTTTGTACCCTGAGTAACCAGAAGAGTCGGATCCATCGAAGAGAAACATAGTACGAACACTCCTAAGAAACGACAAGACCTCGGCTTCCATTCTAGCGACAGTGCGAATGACAAGAACAGGTATGAATTTCAGTCCTAAATTCAACAGATCAAGCTCAGGTTTGGAAAAGGTATGGTTGTAGTTATGGAGTCCTCGGTTGGTGATACGACATTGCAATAGATACTTCGTCTGTGGTCCGAACAGTATCAATGCATAACGTGAGAATCCTAGCCACTATCCACTGGGATATAAGGGCTTGTTTGTATAGCGGGTGAGTGCGCCCATAACCCCCCAAGTGAACACGCCTGTAACCCCCCTTAGGATCAATCGGGCATCCACAGTGCAGATCTACTGACACCCCCCCCACACTAGGAGGCCTAGGACTGAGCACAACGGCAACGGCCTATAAGTGCATACACCGGGATTCGAACCAGAGACCGCTCTGATACCATGTCAGAATTCCAGCCACTAACCACTGGGATAAAGGGCTTGTTTGTGTAGCGGTGAGTGCGCCCATAACCCCACAGGCGAACACGCATGTAACACCCCTTAGGATCAATCGAGCATCCACAGTGCAGATCTACTGACACATAAGTGTGAACATCAGTGACTACTACCAAAGTCATTTTTCCGCAGCCTCCTCCTCCCCCGTTTTTTAACGCAGTTTCTTTGCGAGATGAGGTGGAAGCAGGAGCGTTGCGGTTGTCGTTAGCAGGCTTGGAACTGTTGCATACGGCCGTCTTAGAATAAGATCGGCCAATTGACTTTACAGAAGTACGTTCAGCTTCGTCGGATTCCTACCTCTTGCAATTGTTAGCAGCACCCTTGCCGTTGCTAGCAGCACCTTTGTTGTTATGACGGGAACCCTTATCATTGCCGGCCTTAGAAGGCTTAGAAGCCTGACGAGGCTTAGGAATAAGGTTCATCACAATCTACAAGCTTGAAAAATGCTCATCACCCAATACCAAGCTTGTAGATCTTCTTCAAGTGAAGTTCTCAAGACCAAGTCATTTTCCTAAGTTACTCCTACAAAATTATAAGTAAGATCTGCTCAAGTAAGTACCTACCCTTCTCATTCTCTCTCCAAGCCCTCATCTTGTTATAGACCAAGGACGGAGTCTATGAAGATTAGGAGCCGAAATATATCAAAATCGTTGGGCCTAGTTTCTGGGCAGGAAAGTCGAGTTCACAAGAAACGCCGTCGACACAAATTGCACAGTCAAAACTTCATTAAACTCAAATACGTTGTATCCCTAGTCAGTGGCTACAATTCCCAAATTGAATCGTACGATAAGGTGAAGTATTTCTTGAGTTATGAATTTCGGCGCACTAGGGGGTAAGCTGCCATAGAATCTTAACTCAATCACAATTGTCTCATAATTTCACACAAGAGTGTTAGAGTAGCAATTAACCAGGTGGGAGGGGAAGAGGAGGACGAGAGGGAAGGTCCCCAAGGATTCCCCAACCAAGGAAACCCCATAAGCACACCAAATCCCTTCCCTATAGGAACCCCACTTTGACCTTTGTCCATTTCCCAACCTCCACAATCCTCCTCACCCAAGTTGGCCACACTTGCCAACCCAATTTGGTTTCTCCCAACCACTTGGCAGCATCTACAGTGATGGGGACGAATTCTCCAACCCCCAAAAGTCTGTACCGCTTATGGAGTCAACCCACAACTTCCCATAGTCACCACAACCAAATATCAAAAGCATACGAACTTCAAATGTTCGTAACTTTCTTGTTCGTGCTCCGATTGAAGCGATACTTGGCTCGACGGAAAGCTCTTGAGCAGAGGAGTCACTTCAGATATCTGCTCAAGCCAAATAAATTTTTCACACACTCAGAGAATCCAAACCACAGAAAACAAAAGTTCTTGCACACGTTTACACCACGCTTGCAACGCACGAACATATGATGGGAGGCAGACAGACGTGAATGCAAATGATAGCATCACATAACACATCTGTCCATTCTTGTTTGTGCTCTTAACACAACAATCATTCCACCTTACACAAGTTTCACCTTTTAGTCCCAAAGATTTTTATTCACTTTCTCTTCTCAAACATATTACTTTCTCTAATAATTGAGCTACAGTTCCGATGTTGCATCCTTGTCTTATTCAAATGTGCAATCATACTCCTTTGTCCTTTTCTCAACTCTCAACTGATATCAGAGCTAATTAACTGTCAGAACATATAGCTTACTTATTTGTGTAGGCTGTAGTGGGGTATCCCATAGGGGGTACAACCAATTAGGGTTTCCTATTTTGTACTCACTTCGTTCATAGTCATTTTCATTCTCGTTCTATTTTTTCTCATGGTATCGAGCAGGTTCCCCTGTGGGAACTGTGCTTAGGGCCCACCACTACTTCGAACTTTTTTTTACCCGCAGCGCGCTCTGGGCTCTCTCTCTTACTTCTGTCGACCGGCCCTTAGCCGCCCGCGCGCGCCCGTTCAGGCATCACGCTGCCAGTGCGCCGCCACTAGACGCTAGCACGCCGCCCATCCCGGCCCCGTGCAGGCCCGCGTGCCGCCCTTAGCAGACCGCGCGCCGCCCTTAGCAGCCCGCGCGCCGCCCTAAGCAGCCCGCGCGCCGCCCTAAGCAGCCCCGCGCGCCGCTCGCCCGGCCCCAGGCCGCCCACGCGCCGTCCGCGCGCCGCCCTTTAGCCGCCCGCGCGCCGCCCGCCAGGCCTCAGGCCGCCCACGCTCCGCCCGTGCGCCGCCCTTAACCGCCCACGTGGCCGCTCGTGCGCCGCCCTTAGCCGCCCCAAGCACAGCCCGTGAGCGCCTGTGAGCCGCCCGTGAGCCGCCCGTGCGCCGCCCGTAGCCGCCCGAAGCGCCGCCCGTGAGCCGCCCGTGAGCCGCCCGTGAGCCGACCGTGAGCCGCCCGTGAGCCTCCCGTGAGCCGCCTGTGTGAGCCACCCGTCAGCCGCCCGTGAGCCGCCCGTGAGCCGCCCGTGAGCCGTCCGTCCCGGCCCCGAGCCACCCGTGAACCGCGCCGTGAGCCGCCTCTGTGCCGCCCGAGCCGCCCGAGCCGCCTGAGGAGCCGAGCTGCTGGTCCTGTGGGGCTGGTGTTGCTACTGGGCCAGCAGAGCTGCTGTGTTGCCGTGTTGCTGTGCTGCTGAGTTGCCCAACCCGTCCTGTCTGGTGAGCCAGCTCCACTGCTACTGCGTACCCCCTTCCCGCACTGCTTGCACTGCTAGTCTGTCGTCATGGCTACCCCTAGTGTCCTAGCTTTGACGCTGAGGGTCGGGCCATTGACTTTGAGGTCCTGGGTCGACGACCTGCAGCTGTTCTTACAGTGCGAAAGGGCAGACGGTCTTTCTCTCTTTTGACCTCACCTCTGGCGCCGTCCCTGCCCCTACTGCTGATGCTGGACGCCACTGTTCGCTCACAGTGGGCCATGCGCGATGCTGCTGCACGTCTTGCTGGTGCGTCGCCACCTGCCTACCGTTGAGCGCGCGCAACTTTAGCCAGTACAAGAGTGCCCAGACCTTGTACGACGCTGTAGTTGCGCGCTACTCTTCCCCTGCCCACTGCTGCACTGAGCCGCCTCATGCTCCCCTTCCTCTTCCCTGACCTTGCCGCCTTTCCGACTGTCGCTGATCTCATTACGCACCTCCGCACTAGTGACACTCGCTACCGCGCTGCGCTTCCTGCTGACTTCTGCGCCAAGAACCCCCCCCCCCATGTACATCACTCTCTACTTTTTAGTCACTCGCCTCCCTGACTCCCTTCGTGTAGTCCGGGACCACTTCCTCGCGCTCTTTCCCACCACCCTCACAGTCGACAGCCTTGAGAAGGCCCTCCTAGCGGCGGAGAAGAGCATAGTCGCTGTAGGAGCCTCTCGAGGTGACCCCGGCGCCCCCATCTTTGAGGGGTGTTCTCCTTCCCCTCTCCTGCCCTCTGTTGCCTCTGCCGCTGCGGCCGACCTCGTTGGTCTTGAGTCGGTCGGTGCGGCGTCTGCCCCTAGCGGGAGACGCCGCTCTGGCAAGGGCAAGGGGGGCAAGGGAGCGGGTGGGGCCAGCGGGGGCAGTGGAGGTGGAGGTGGAGGCGGCGGAGGGAGTGGGGGTGGCGGTGGAGGGGGTGGCGGGGGTGGGGGTGCTAGTGGCGGCAGTGGAGGCGGGGGTAGCGGCGGCGGTGGTGGTGCGAGCGGAGGTGGCGGAGGCGGCGGCGGTGGAGGCGGAGGCGGGGGGGCGGAGGAGGCGGAGGCGGGGGGGGTGGCGGTGGTGGAGGTGGTCGGAGTGGCACTTCGCAGCGGAGCAGCACTAGGGGTGGTCAGCGCCAGCAGCAGCAGCAGCAGTAGCAGCAGCAGCAGCGTTCTCGCGACATCCCCACCCCTCAGCAGCTCCGTGAGTGGTACACGCAGCGTCAGCGTGGTGGGGGTTTTAGTCCCTGCACCTATGTTCTTCGCACTGGCGACCGCGCTGGAGAGCAGTGTGGGGGTACCCACACCGCCCAGCGCTGCTTTGGCCGCTTGACGGACGCTTGGCGCCAGCAGTTCCCGGAGGCCGCGGAGATCCCCGCTGGGGAGAGCTATCTAGGGCTGGTGTAGCTATCTTTGATCTTGACTTTGATGCTATCCTTGCTGCCATGTATGCTGTGACATGAGTGATGAGGGTGACTATTACCGGTGTTTCCCGCCCGACCCGGGCATTGGTACTGCTGCTCTAGGTGCCAGCGAGGCTTCTGCTCTAGGTGCCAGTGCGTCTGTGCTCTCAGGTACTGGTGAGGCTCCTCTCTCACGTACTAGTGAGTCTGCGCTCTCAGGTACTGCTTCGGCTTCGGCCTCCCACACCTTCACCCTTGACTCTGGAGCGTCTCGCTCCTTCTTTCGGGACCGCACCACCCTCACGCCGCTTAGTCGGCCGGTTGCGGTGTCCCTGGCTGACCCTCTGGGGGTCCTGTTCTGTCTCGCTTCTCCACAG